CATCTTGGATTGTAAAGTAGCAGAAAACAATCGGTCTAGATCTTTAATGAAATGTGCAAATTATGAGAATATAATGTCATTCATTTGTTAAACTTTTCACCTGAATGAAGAAAATTATGTATTTTATCATATTTTTGCAACTGTTTTTTACAAATACAGAATATATTTTTTGTTTGATTCAATTTCTTCAACTTTGCTATATAAGGGGAAATAATTCAGATAATGTAACTTTTATACTGGAATGTGTTATGAATTTACCTAATTTGTTTTGTAGCAAAAAAAACACCTCCAGTAACCTTTTCCATTCATATTTTGAAAGCCCATTATAAGAGCTATCTTCTCATATTTTATCTTAAAATTCTATGCTTTAGTTTTCTTATTATCACACAAAATTGTGTTTTCCATGAATAATCTATACATAATCTGACAATTTTGCACAACCTGTATCTTGAAAAAAGCCCCATAACCCATACTTTTTATTATATATTTGAGAAAGCCATGATATAAACAACATTTTGGCAAATCATTAAAAATTCTATGGATTTTAATTTAAACACTTAATCTACCTCAAGTCCAAAACCACTGATAAAGGAGGAAAAGCTTTAATAATAGTTATTGTTGGATTCATGCTAATTTGTGTGGTACCTATTTTTGTGGATTTCGTGAGTAAACGTAAACCACATATTTAAATGTTCAAGGAAGTATACATTTTCTATAGGCTTATTTGTCATTCCGGCTTTCCATCATTCCGTCATTCCACAACGAACAGTTATACAGACTTTTTTTCTAAACACCTTCACGTATTGAGCTGATTTTTAGTATGTGAGTCTACTATAATGAGTTACAGATTAAGTTTAAGTTTGGTTCTCCTCTGCTGATTTTTGCCAAAATTACTGTTTTGGACTTCAAAATTTAGTGAAAATAACATTTGTACAGACTTTTCTACATGTCTCCACATATTGAGCTGATTCTTAGTTTGTGAGTCAACTATGATGAGTTACAGATCGAGTTTACGTTTGGTTCTGCTCCGCTGATTTTTGCCAAAATTATGGGCTTTGGACTTTGAAAATTTCATGAAAATAATAATAGTTATACAGACCTTTTTTTTCTAAAGGCCTTTGCATAGTGAGCTGATTTTTATACGACCGCAAAAATTGAAAATTTTTTGGTCGTATATTGGTATGACGTTGGCGTCGTCGTCGTCGTCGTCGTCGTCGTCGTCGTCGTCGTCGTCGTCGTCGTCGTCGTCGTCTGGCGTCGTCCGGCGTCGTCCGAAGACACATTGGTTTTCGCACTCTAACTTTAGTTTAAGTGAATGGATCTCCATGAAATTTTACCATAAGGTTCAATACCACGAAAGGAAGGTTGGGATTGATTTTGGGGGTTATGGTACCAACAGTTAAGGAATTAGGGGCCAAAAAGGGGCCAAAAATAAGCATTTTTGTAACTTCCAGACAATAACTTGTGTGTAAGTGTATGGATCTCTCTGACATTGTACCACAAGGTTCCATATCACAAAGGAAAGGCTGTAATTGATTTTGGGGGTAATTGCCTCAAAATTTTAGGAATTAGGGGCCAAAAAAGGGGCAAAAAACAAGCATTTTTCTAGTTTCATGACAATAACTTGTGTGTAAGTGTTTGGATATTTCTGAAATTGTACTACAAGGTTCCATATCACAAAGGGAAAGCTGGAATTGAGTTTGTGGGTAATTGCCCGAAACGTTTAGGAAAAGGGGGCCAAAAAGGGGCCAAAAATAAGCATTTTTCTAGTTTCCAGACAATAACTTGTGTTCAAGTGTATGGATCTCTCTGAAATTGTACTGCAAGGTACCATACCACAAAGGGAAGGCTGGGATTGAGTTTGGGGGTGATGAATCATAAGGGGGTTCAAAAAATTTGGGGGGGGGATTTTTTTTTTTCTTTTTTTTTTTCTTTTTTTCCTTTTTTTTTTCTTTTAAAATTTTCCATTTTAAGTTGGTTATTTCTGATTAATATTTAAAAGCAAATAATAATGATATGGTAGGAGATACACACCAAACAGGATGTGTAAATTATTATATAATAAGTATTGTGCAATAGCAAGAAATTTTCAATTGCACAGTATTGCACAATTGCAAGAAATCTTCAATTGCACAGTATTGCGCAATAGCAAGAAATCTTCAATTGCACAGTATTGCGCAATAGCAAGAAATATCCAATAGCACAATATTGCGCAATAGCAAGAAATTGTCAATTGTACAGTATTGCACAATAGCAAGAAATATTCAATTGCACAGTATTGTGCAAAAGAAGATACTTCGTATAAATTGCTTATTTCTTGATCAATTTCAATGGGGTTTTATTCTTGAATTCTTGGGGTTCTTTAATATGCTGAATCTAACCGTGTATTAAGTTTTTGGATTTTGGGCCCCGTTTTTAAATTGGTCCACATTGAGGTCCAAAGGGTCCAAAATTTAACTTTGTTTGATTTCATAAAAAATTGAAATATTGGGGTTCTTTAATATGCCGAATCTAACCATGTATTTAGATTCTTAATTTTTGGTTCCGTTTTCAAATTGGTCTACATTAAGGTCAAAAGGGTCCAAAATTAAACTTAGTTTGATTTTAACAAAAATTGAATTTTTAGGGTTCTTTGATATGCTGAATCTAAACATGTATTTTGATTTTTGATTATGGGCCCAGTTTTCAAGTTGGTCCAAATCAGGGTCCAAAATTAAACTTTGTTTGATTTCAACAAAAATTGAATATATGGGGTTCTTTGATATGCTGAATCTAACCATGTATTTAGATTTTTGATTTTTGGGCCCCGTTATCAACTTTGTCCACATTGAGGTCAAAAGGGTCCAAAATAAAACTTTGTTTGATTTCATCAAAAATTGAATTCTTGGGGTTCTTTGATATGCTGAATCTAACCATGTATTTAGATTTTTTATTTGTGGATCTGCTATCAAATTGGTTCATATTGAGGTCAAAAGGGTCCAAAATTAAACTTTGTTTGATTTCATCAAAAATTGAATTATTGGGGTTCTTTGATATGCCAAATCTAACCGTGTATTTAGATTTTTAATTTTGGGTCCCGTTTTTAAATTGGTCTACATTAAGGTCCAAAGGGTCCAAAATTAAACTTAGTTTGATTTTAACAAAAATTGAATTCTTGGGGTTCTTTGATATGCTGAATCTAAACATGTGTTTAGATTTTTGATTATGGGCCCAGTTTTCAAGTTTGTCCAAGTTGGGGTCCAAAATTAAACTTTGTTTGATTTCAACAAAAATTGAATATATGGGGTTCTTTGATATGCTGAATCTAAACATGTATTTAGATTTTAGATTTTTGGCCCAGTTTTCAAGTTGGTCCAAATTGGGGTCCAAAATTAAACTTTGTTTGATTTCAACAAAAATTGAATATATGGGGTTCTTTGATATGCTGAATCTTACCATGTATTTAGATTTTTTATTTTGTGGGCCCGCTATCAAATTGGTTCATATTGAGGTCAAAAGGGTCCAAAATTAAACTTTGTTTGATTTCATCAAAAATTGAATTATTGGGGTTCTTTGATATGCCAAATCTAATCGTGTTTTTAGATTTTTAATTTTGGGTCCTGTTTTTTAAATTGGTCTACATTAAGGTCCAAAGGGTCCAAAATTAAACTTAGTTTGATTTTAACAAAAATTGAATTCTTGGGGTACTTTGATATGCTGAATCTAAACATGTGTTTAGATTTTTGATTATGGGACCAGTTTTCAAGTTTGTCCAAGTTGGGGTCCAAAATTAAACTTTGTTTGATTTCAACAAAAATTGAATATATGGGGTTCTTTGATATGCTGAATCTAACCATGTATTTTGATTTTGGACATTGGACCATAATAGGTAAATTAAAAAAATTGAAGTTCTTAGACCACATTCTTTCTGTGTCAGAAACCTATGCTGTGTCAAATATTTAATCACAATCCAAATTCAGAGCTGTATCAAGCTTGAATGTTGTGTCCATACTTGCCCCAACTGTTCAGGGTTCGACCTCTGCGGTCGTATCAAGCTGCGCCCAGCGAAGCATTTTATTAGTATGTGAATCTACTATGATGAGTTACAGATCAAGTTTACATTTGGTTTTGCTCCACTGTTTTGTGCTGAAATTATGGGCTTTGGACTTTTTAAAAATTTTTGTGAAAATAACAGTTACAGACTTTCATTCTCTAAAAATGGCTTCAAGCTTTTTTTTGCCAGCAGGGCCATTCATGTCGTTCCGACACCTCTAGTATTTTCCTACAATGTACGAATATTATTTTTATCCTGCAATTTAACATTTACACGTAAAAGTTTTGTTTTTTACTTCCCAATAGTCGAATTTGTTTTTGAATGAAACCAACAGGACTTAAATGTAGACTGCAATGAGGACCCCAAATTTAACTGTGAGGTAAACAGTAATTTGAATATAACCATTAGCTCACAGCAGAATCAGGATACCAGGAGACTATAAACATATACTATATGTATATCGCTTCATGTTATCTGTCAACCAGTAGTTGTATAGTAGAAATATCAATTGCAGGATAATTTATCATAATACTTGAAGAACTATTGGCTTTCTGTCTCAAGCAGACTATAATGTGGGTTTTGCTCATTGTTGAAGGCTGTATGTTGACCTATAGTTGCTTACTTCTACGTCATTTGGTCTCTGGTGGAGAGTTGTCGTCTCATTGGCAATGATATCACATCTTTTTATTTTTATATCATACCATTAATGCTGGCACTGTACAAGTACTAGCAGTATGTGAAGTATGGTTGATAAAATATAATGAACTTCAATTTTGTAAATATGATGTAGTGGACTTAAAGATTGTTTACATTGATACAGTGGACTTTAGGTTTATGAATATAAGACAGTGCACTTAGAATTTTTATTCCTGTAGTCTTAATTAAATACCATATGAAATAAAATATTATTTATATTGTTTTGCTGTTAGTTGACTGAAAATTAAAACTATATTTGTGTTGTATTTAGGTGATGTTCGGATGAAATCAAAGCCAGACAAGAGTAATGAGGGAAAGCGGAAAGCATCAATCTCAGAATCAGACATGAAACTTTTAGATAGTAAGTACAAAGTATAAAAGAAGGCACAGCATATAATGCTGACTTTCTGTCAGTGTAAGCTGCCATTGAGCTGAGTTTTAACTCACCTGGTTAGTGTGAGATATTTTTCATCACTTGACATCCTTTGTCAGTACATTGATGTTGTTGTCATCTATTCGTCTAAAAGAAATCTCCTCCTGTTAACCAGCTATGCCATTTGCCATGTGAACAATTGTTAAAGTCCATTGACTTAGAAACATTTCCATCTTTTACATGTTAAGTTGTGATTAGGTCAGTTTCAGGTCATTACCTCTAATTATAAGTCAATAGATAGTTATTATGCAGTTGTATAACATTGGCACATCTCCTTTCCATGGAGACATCATCGAAAGTCCTTTCAATGAGTTTTCATGAAAAAATCATAAATTGTGTTTAAATTTCTAAGTTTTTTACTAGCAAATATAGAAGAAAGTACCAACTAAAAATTTTACCATGTTATTTGTGTATATGAACAACACCTCTAATGTAATTATTTTTGTGGTTTATGCATGTGCCCAAAATTTCTGACAAAAATGCTATTTTTTGTCCTATTTTGTAGAAAAATTAAATTTATGCTGTCTCTCAACCTGAAATGTCTGTGAATATTCATAATAATTAAAATATCTTAGATATTTTGCATAAGGTATATTTCAGCTGATATTATAATACTTCAATTTTTTAGTCTATAAAGTGCACTTAGCTCCTCCTATTGACCATAGCTGTTCTTTAACTCTCCTTTAGCTTGATATTTTTGTCTCGCCTTGGCAGAGTAAAAAATCGAGACATAGGTATGCTGTTTCCAGCAGCGGTGGTGGCATCAACAACGTATTAGTTTGTGATTAGGTCAGTTTATGGGGAACCACTAGTGGTAGGTCAATGATATTTGGTATGCAGTTGTATTAGCATTGGCACATCTTGTTTACATGGAGATTGTCTGCCCCTGTACCTTCAGTGATGGTTCATTGACTGAATACTTTGCATAACTTACATGTTAAAGTATTGCTATTTTAATTTCAACATTTGCATTTTACTATCAAAATAACAAAATGTGAGACATATCTCTGTGTTAACAGTTTATAGATAGTAACAGTTAAGTTACCTAAATGTTATAATAAGTTTTTAAAGATAATTATAATGCATAAAACTAGAATATTCTTTTGATGCTATGTACATTTTAGAAATAAGAACTTAGTTTTATCTTACAGCAATTGATATATATACGTTTTAAGATTTGTGCATGGATACTGACAAAAGACAAAAATAGGGACTATACAATATGTATTAAATTTGCTGGTTGGTTGTTTTCAGTTGACTCATAATATATTAGAAAGTATAATCACCATCACTGAAAAAATAAGTGAAATTTTCCACTAAATAATTACTGATTCCTAAATAAAACTAAAAAAGATGTAGTATTTTCATCCTGCTATCCTTTCAAAGAAGAAATTAAATGATTTTGTATTAATTTGGATGTAATTTTTGTTTGGAAACCAGTTCTTTCTTTTTCTCAGCAGGATCATTTTAAATTGCCTTCATTTGCTACAAATGATGAAGCTGACGTCAGTATTAGCCTAGAAAATCAGTTTCCAACAGAAGCAACAGGCGTCACCTAATTTCACAAGGGAATTATTTCCTGAATGGTCTGAATAATTGTTTCGTATTAAATGCTTTCCTTTATCATAGATAAATCAGAGGTATTTTGTAAGATTATGCCAATAGTATTCTTTGCAGTAATTCAGAGATCTATGATTCTATCAGTTTATATGACCAAATCTCTTAAAATAAGAAACGATTTTGGTAAAATGATAATTTTATTGATAATTTTATATAAGATGTTTTAACCTAAAATTTGCAGGAAACTTCTCTTCTTTTTATACGCCCGTTTACGGGACGTATTATGGTATACCGTTGTCCGTCCGTCTGTCCGTCCAGCTCGTCAACATGTCGGACATTAACTCAAAAATGCTTGAACCAATTTGCTTAAAACTTTGGTGAATTGTTTATATCTATTGAAGTGAGCTCCCTTTCGATTTTTATAAATTTTAGATTTTACGTTTCCAAGTTATGGGGTTTTATTCATTAAAAAAAGGGGGATTTTCCAGTTTTCGGACAATAACTCGAGAATGCTTTGACCAACTTTCAAGAAATTTTGGTGAATTGTTTATATCTATTGACATGAGTTCCCTTTTGATTTTTATATATTTTACATTTTACATTTCCGAGTTATGGGGTTTTATTCATTAAAAAAAGGGGGATTTTCCAGTTTTCAGACAAAAAATCAAAAATGCTTTCAGCAGTTCTTATGAAACTTTGGTGAATTGTTTATATCTATTGATGTAAGCTCCGTTTAGAATTTTATAAATTTAACATTTTAAATTTCTGAGTTATGGGGTTTTATTCATTAAAAAAGGGGTGATTTTCCAGTTTTTGGACAATAACTCAAAAATGCTGTCAGAAATTCTCATGAAACTTTGGTGAATTATTTATATCTATTGATGTAAGCTCCCTTTACATTTTCATAAATTTTTAATATGACATTGAGAATTAATTGAACTTTAATTGTTTATAGTCTGACAACAGATTTGCTAAGTATTGCGCAACAGCACAGTGTTATGCACAACAGCAAGAAATCTTTAATTGAATATAAATTCAATTCATATAACCAATTTCAAGTTCTTTGACTACATTTATTCAGAAACCTATAATATGTTAAATATTTAATACAATCCAAATTCAGACCTGTATCAAGCTTGAATATTGTGTCCATTTTTGTCCCAACTGTTCAGGGTTGGACCTTTGCGGGTGTATCCAGCTGCGCTCAGCGAAGCAGTTTTTTTTAAAAGTATATCTTTATATGCCATCAAACATAAAATTACATCAGTCTTGTGTGGCCTGAGACTAATTTAGGCACACTAGATAATTTTTATACGACCGCAAAAAAATTTTGTGGTCGTATATTGGTATGACGTTGGTGTCGTCATCGTCCGGCGTCGTCGTCCGAAGACACATTGGTTTTCGCACTCTAACTTTAGTTTAAGTGAATGGATCTTTTTGAAATTTGACCATAAGGTTAAATACCACAAAAGGAAGGTTGGGATTGATTTTGGGGGCTATGGTACCAACAGTTAAGGAATTAGGGGCCAAAAAGGGGACAAAAATAAGCATTTTGTAGTTTCCAGACAATAATTGTGGAACGGTGTATGGATCTCTCTGAAATTATACTACAAGTTTCCATACCACAAAGGGATGGTTAGGATTTGCTTTGGGGGGTTATGGCTCAAACCGTTTAGGAATTAGGGGCAAAAAGGGGGAAAAACAAGGTTGTCCTGGTTAATGGACAAATACTTTAGTACAAAACATAATTTAAAGCAGTGTAAGGGAGATAAATCAAATACATCATTGAAATTATCTCCCTTACACTGCTTTTAAATTATGTATAAAGTAATGGTTAATGAACAATAAAGATAATTTAAAACAGTGTAAGGGAGGTAATTTAAATACAACGTTTTGGTTACTTCCCTTACACTGCTTTTAAATTATGTTTAAAGAAATGCATATTTATAAAGGAAGACCAGTAAAAATATCTGCAAATGTTGCATCTTTTTTTTTTACAAAAAAATCCATATGAAAGATTTGACACTATATTTTTAATTCTATTATAAAATAGATTAAGTTAGCACTATGGTAAATTTAAATGGGTAATTATGGTTGCCAACTCCATTGGAAATTTGAATTGAGATTATGACCATATCTTGAGGGAAAGAATTTTTTTGGGGAAAAAAGGGGGGGGGATAAAAAGAAATTGTGGGGGGTCAATTTTTTCTCATTTCAGTTTTCAGAAATTAAAAAGAATTATTCTTCAAATATTATTTTTTTTTCAAATTTCAAATATTGAAAAATTTCAAGAAGTAATCTTTAATTGCACAGTATGGTGCATTAGATTTGTAAAATCTTTGATCACATTTATTTATTTGTTATGCCAAATCTAACAGTGTATTTAGATTTTTAATTTTGTAAAATCTCTGATCACATTTATTTATTTGTTATGCCAAATCTAACAGTGTATTTAGATTTTTAATTTTGGGTCCAGTTTTCAAATTGGTCTACATTAAGGTCCAAAGGGTCCAAAATTAAACTTTGTTTGATTTTAGCAAAAATTGAATATATGAGGTTCTTTGATATGCTGAATCTAAACATGTATTTAGATTTTTGATTTTTGGCCCAGTTTTCAAGTTGGTCCAAATTGGGGTCCAAAATTAAACTTTGTTTGATTTCAACAAAAATTGAATATATGGGGTTCTTTGATATGCTGAATCAAACCATGTATTTAGATTTTTATACGACCGCAAAAAAATTTTTGTGGTCGTATATTGGTATGACGTTGGCGTCGTCGTCGTCGTCGTCCGGCGTCGTCGTCCGAATACACATTAGTTTTCGCACTCTAACTTTAGTTTAAGTGAATGGATCTCAATGAAATTTTACCATAAGGTTCAATACCACAAAAGGAAGGTGGGGATTGATTTTGGGGGTTATGGTACCAATAGTTAAGGAATTAGGGGCCAAAAAGGGGCCAAAAATAAGCATTTTTGTAACTTCCAGACATAACTTGTGTATTAGTGTATGGATCTCTCTGACATTGTACCACAAGGTTCCATATCACAAAGGGAATGCTGGGATTGATTTTGGGGGTAATTGCCTCCAAATTTTAGGAATTAGGGGCCAAAAAGGGGCAAAAAAACAAGCATTTTTCTAGTTTCATGACAATAACTTGTGTGTAAGTCTATGGATCTCTCTGACATTGTATCACAAGGTTCCATATCACAAAGGGAACGCTGGGATTGATTTTGGGGGTAATTGCCTCCAAATTTTAGGAATTAGGGGCCAAAAAGGGGCAAAAAAACAAGCATTTTTCTAGTTTCATGACAATAACTTGTGTGTAAGTGTATGGATCTTAATGAAATTGTACTACAAGGTTCCATATC